CTACAAAATTGTTTTCTGCAAATAAATTTATCACGATTTTTAAGAATAATATTGAATTCAGATATATTATTAGAATTGTATTGAAAAGAATTGAATCTTGCAAAGAAATTTAAAATAATTGAAATTTTGCCAAGAAATTTATAAAAATATTTAAGAATAATTGAATTCGTTTGAGAAATTTTATTGAAAAGAATTGAAATTTTGCTTCAAAATTTGTCAAAAATTTTAGAAATTATTGAATTCTTCTGAGACATTTTATTGAAAATTTAAATTTATTAAAGGTAAAAATAATAGAAATTCTGCAAAAAAATTTATCAAAATTTTTAAGAAAAATTGAATTCTTATATTTGATTAAATTTGTATTGAAAATAATTGAATCTTGCAAAGAATTTGAAAATAATTGCAATTTTGACAAGAAATTTATAATAAAATTTTAAGAATAATTGAATTCTTTTGAGAAATTTTATTGAAAATAATTGAATTAATGCAAAAAATTCAAAATAATTGAAATTCTGCAAAGAAATTTATTCAAACTTTTAAGAATAATTGAATTCCGATATTTTATTAGAATTGTATTGAAAATAATTGAATCTTGCAAAGAATTTTAAAATAATTGAAATTTTGACAAGAATTAAAATTTTTTTTTTTAATAATTGAATTCTTTTGAGAAATTTTATTAAAAATAATTGATATTCTGCAACGAAATTTATCAAAAATTTTAAGAATTATTGAATTCTTTTAATAAAATTTCAAATTAAATTCATTGAAATGTACTAAAATTTCAATTTGAAACCTTTTGAAATTCATTTATTTATGAATATTGTAAAAGCAACTCAGAAAATTCAATTTCTTTTTATATTTTCAAGAAAAAATTATTCATTAAAAAATTTAAGAGCAATAATTTTGTGATAGTTCTTGAAAAATTAAATTATTTGAAATAAATAATTATTGTCAGAATTAGAAAAAATTGAAGGTTTTGTATTAGAACTCGTGGCAATTTCATAGTTTATGAGGCAAACAAAAAGAATTTTTTTTTAAATTTTAGAATTTTCTTTAGAATCAAACTTTAGAATTTTTTTATGAATTCTAAAAATTCATTTTTTCCCCAGTACTTTTAATAAAAATCCCTGACATTTTCCTGATTTACAAATAAAAAGAAAATGAAAATTGAAATCGATTTAGAATTGAAATGACATTTTGAAAATTAAAGTTACAAGATTAATTTTGAGTATTTAAGTAGCAGCACTTAAGAAGTTATTATAAATATAGGTTTAATATATTTGTACTTAAGTAAACTAATGTTTAGCCTTTCTGTCTCAACCCAAGGGAAAATGAACTTAAATTAGAACTCTGATCCAGTAATCCGTTGGTTGTATGTTAATTTGTTTGCTACCTCTCAGTTGGATGTACACGAACATACATTCATTAGTTTAGTTTTGATTTATTACTAACTGGATTTCACAACTCCTGGATCAATCAATTTTAAACTATAATTAAACAGAAAAATTACAAAATTAAAAATAGATTAATCGACTTTTTGATATATTATTTATTTGCGTTATTTTAATAACTAATTATTATAACTACTACTACTATTATTATTATTATTATTATTATTATTATTATTATTATTATTATTATTATTATTATTATTATTATTTTAGTAATATTGTTACTCTTATTATTTTTACTATCACTTTTATATTATTTTTATTTTAATTATGAATTCATTTTATTCTATTCCCCTTCTTATAGCTCAATTTAATAGATTTTAATTCTCTAAATTAAAAAAAATAGGTTTCTAAATTAAAATTAAGAAAAATGGGAAAAAATTGGTTTAAATGAAAAAAATGGATTTAAATATTTCTTTAAGAAAGTATAAAAAGATATTAAATAATGCTAGTGTAAAAATATTTATCTTAATTCTTTACAATTTTTTTTTATTTTCTCAGAAGTTGATTTATCATGTTTGTTCACGTATATATGCACATATATTGTATATATTCTTCAATGAAAGGGCAACCGAGAAAAACAGGATGAATCCACTTGATATAATTTCTCAATATTTAGCAAAATGTTATTATTCACATTATCTCGAAATACAACAATGTTTCATTTTTCTTTTTTTTTAACGAAACCACAAACAGAAATAAAACTTTTATCAAAAGTTCGACGACGAAAGAATAACATCATCATTATTATGTATCGTCTCCTTTTTTTAATTAGGGTCCATTTTTTACTTGAATAAAAATAATTTTTTTAAAATTTTATTTAAATGTTTTTAAATTTTATTGAAAAACGAAATATTTATTAATATTTCGAAAATTAACAGGGTTGCCACAAATATTTAATTTTGTTTATCCCTGACTTTTCCCTGAATTCTAGAGAAAAATTTAACTTTTTCCCTGAAAATTCTATAAAAATTCAATTATTTAAATTAAAAAAAAAAATAATTTAATGAATAATTGAATTTTTGTTAAAATTGAATTCTCGTAAAAAATTTTATCAACAAATTTTTAAATAATTAAATTTCTGAAAAGAATTTTGTAACTCTTGAAAATAATTTTATTCTCGTGATTATTATTGTTATCTATTAATGAAAATAATTGAATTTTACAAAGAATTTTATTAAAATTCTTGAAAACAATTGAATGTTAAATTATTTTTATTTATGAAAATAATTGAATTTTACAAAGAATTTTATTAAAATTCTTGAAAACAATTTAATATCTATGGGAAAAATTTTCATATTTATCAATATAATTGATTTCTTTCTAAGAATTAGATTTAAAATTTTTCTAAATAATATTAAATACATTATTAAAAAATTCAACTAATTTTAACAGAATTGAAATTAAAATTGTATTAAAATTAATTGAAATTCTGCGATGAATTTTATTATTTATGTAAATAATTGTAAAAATAATTGAATCCATGTAAAAAATTTTATTTATGAACATAATTGAATTATTGAGGAGAAATTTATAAAAAAATTTGTAAATATAATTGAATTTCTGTGAAATTTTAATTATTTCTGAAAATAATTAAATGTTTGCGTAGAATTTTATTAAAATTTTTGTAAATAATTGAATTTTAGCGCAGAAAAAAATCTTCGCTGTTTATAAAGATAATTGAAATCATAATGAGAATTTTTTTTTTTAATATTTTGGAAAATAATTGAATTTCTGAAAATAATTTTATTATTCTTGAAAATAATTTTATTCTTGTGATTAATATTTTTATTTATGAAAATAATTGAATTTTGCAAAGAATTTTATAAAAATTCTTTGAAATAAATTGAATTTGCGTAAGAATTTTATTAAGATTTTTTGTAAATAATTGAATTCTTTTGGAAAATTTTATTAAAATAGCAAATATTGATAATTATTGAATTGGAGAATTGAAAAATTTTTTTAAAATAACTAAAATTTTCCCAACAATTTTATTAAAATTTTTGAAAATAAATTGAATTTCGGAGGAGAATTTTATTATTTATAAAGATACTTAAAATTTTGACGAGAATTTTTTTCACATTTTGGAACATAATTGAATGTCTGTGAAGAATTTTATTACTTTTGATAATAATTGAATTTCTGCATTAATTTGTAACTGTTCCAAAATTCAATTTTTTTCGTATTTTTAACTAAAATTCTTTTATGAATCTATTATTATTTTTAATAATTAATTAAATCTATATTAAAAAAATGGAACTAATTATTTCTTTTACAGTTTAGAAATTAAATTTAAAATAATAATAAGAGGAAAATAATAGTAATAATAAACAAATAATAGTAACAATAAAAAAATAATAGCGATAAGAAAAATAATAATAGTAACCATAGTAACAAAATAGTAGCAATAATAAAAGTAATAATAGTAAAAATAAATAATAACTATAAAAAAAAATTGATTAATATAGAAATAACAATCACAATATTGCTAAATTAAATGAATAAAATCAATTTTATGCAATTTATTAATATATTAATATTATTTAAATTATATAAAGTATAAATAAACTGACAGTTTTGTTTGGAATATTTACCTGTTATTTTTTTTTAATAATAAAGGATACAAATCTCATTAATCAAAAATAAAATTATTCCAATTTAGTCAATTTTGAATATATTTCATAACAAACAAAGTATTTAATTTTCAAACATTTTTGTTTATAACATTCTTTTGTTTTTGTTTATTTATAATAATAAAATTAACCTCAAATTGAGGACGTTCTTTCTTCTTGTTATTGCGTGTGGCAAGGTTGGATAATTTTTTTCGCAAGTTTGCAAGCAGGTTCATCGATATTTGAATAGATGGCGCCAGCGCGGACCAGGTTAGCCAACATTGCTCTATTTGAATAATTTTGCTTTTTAATGAAAAATATATAAGAAATTTTTAAATAAATATTATTTGAATAACTATTTATCACAATTTCGAACAATAGGAAATTATAAATTTCTATAAATATTTATTATTTTAACAAGAATTTGGAAATTTTCATTCGCGCCAATAGTTTGGCGCCATTACATTGGTACATCGGTGTTCACACACTTTTGTCATTAGGAACTTTTCCCTGCTACCGGTCACATCGCTTCGATTTCAACTTTCCTTCGCACAAAAAAAAGGTATATTTTTTGTATTTTTATTAAAAATTTCCACCTCTTGAATGTTTTACTACATGGATTGTACGATATTCAATGAAAATATGAAACAAAAGGAGTAAATGTGATTGAGATTTGGTGAAAATTGACACGATGGGGAAATGGGGGGGAGTGCCATTGTCGTTTCACAAAACGTAGAATCCAGTAGAATCTCTCGCAAAATTAATATTGTAAACGAAATGGAATAAAAAAGTGTGTCAGATTGTGTATTTTTGATGGGAAAATTGACGGAAATTGAGAAAAATGGTTGATTTTTCATTTCGGTGAATTGACATTTTTCAAGATGGCGGCAATGCATGTACAAGTAAAATAACAATGTGTCAATTTACTTTGTTGCAGAATTACGATTCTTTTTGGTGAAGGATGAGCTTTATGACCACTATAGGTGTACAAGATTCTTGGAAAAGATTGTGTAGCGATTAATTTTCGGTCTCTTTGAACGGTTTTAATTACAATCATTAATTGTGATTCTAAATTAAAACCCAGAGGAGGGATCTCCGGAAATTAATTTGCTGCTAATTTTTTATTACGAAAAAGAATCATTCGACTCAGGGAGGAATGACCAGGATTTTGGTGAGAATTTTTTTTTGATAAATTATAATATATTACAAAAATATAATTATTTTATTGAGAAATCCGTCGGGTTTAATTATTGATAAACTTTTATTTTGTTTCGTAAATTTTTTCAGGTTATGTTTTGTCAAATTTGTTTATTTTTAACATTTTATTTTTGATTCGCGTCACATTCTCAATTAATTTGACAGAACGAAATTAATAATTCGGAAATAATAATGAAAACAAATTTGACTCGAACGGTATTTCGATAAATATTGTTTTAATTACAATTCCGCCTCTCTTTAGTTGAATAAATTATTGCAATAAAAAAAAATCTAAAAGGGCAAATAAAAGTAGTTTTCTTTGACATTTTACGATCAATGATATTTATTATTTACGAAAATTACTAATTGCAAAATACATTCCTTATGGAATTTAATTATAATAATAATAATAATGAAAATTAATAATAAATATAGGAAATTCCAAATAATTAACAATTATTAATTCGTAATTATGAATTACTATTAATAATTAACAATAATAATAAATATAAAAATTAAATTAATAAAAATAAAGGTAAAATAAGAATTATAAAATTTATTGGTATTATAAAATTTAATTAATAATTATAAAATATGATTAATAATTTAAAAAATAATACAATAAAATTATTTCCCTTTTTCCTTAATAATTAAGATTTTTATTAATTTGTAATTAATATTAATAATTATTATTTAATTAATAATTATCATCTCATTGAAAATTATTTATTTAATTATTAATTATTATCTTATTAATTCATAATTATTATTTAATTAATAATAGAAAAGTTTTATTGAATTTACTTTTGTAAATTTCGTCCTAAATGTTATTTGCGTCGGTTAAAAATTCCAATCGACAATAAATTGAAAATATTATTGGCAATATTGACAAAATTATATTACAATATTGACAATATTATTTTGAAAATAATATTGTCACATTTGAAAGTAAAACTTTCCATTAAATTATTTGGAATTTTAAAAATTCGATTTTGAAATCGAGTAATCATTTATTTAAATACATTTTGAATTGATTTTTCTTTTTTTGTATGAAATTTTTTATTCATTTGAAAAAATTGTTTTTAAAAAAGAAATGTTAATGAATAATTAAATATTTTCAATATTTATTTATCCTCTGAATATTAATTTAAATGTATTTAAATTTTTAATAATTGTTCAATAATAATTTAAACTCCAATTAGATTTTTCAAATTCTGCTTTTTAAAAAGAATTTATTATTTTGTTTTTTCAGATCTTCCTCACGATGTGCACCTTGGTCAGAATATCAGGCCTCGGATTGTAAATTACTTTTTTCATTTACTTTTTATAAAATTTAATTTTTTCGATTTTTCTAAAAAACTTTAAATGAATTTAAATATTTTCTTAGTTAAAATTCAAAAATTAATGAAATTTCCTTAATATTTGTCAAGAATTTTAAATTTATTTATCCAATTAAATCAGAAGAAAAGAATGATTACGAAATACTTTGACAATTTTTTTTATTTAAATTTTGATTATTTTTATAACTCTGTTTCTTTAATAAATGTAAAATGAAAAATCTTTACAAGCATTCACCACAAACAATATTAACAAAAATATTCGACTAAAAACTTATTGATCATTAAAATCCACACCTTCGCTTGAGTTTGAATAATTTTTATAAAAAACTTGAAAAATCATTTTGATACGAGAAATATTAAAACATTTTAAAAATCTGTTCTGACTAAATTCAAAATTGAAATATTCCTCTGAGTACAATTTTGATATGTTTTGAATAGAATTTGCGGAAAATATATTCCTATGAATTTTTTTATTCAGGAATTAATGAAATTTCTCTTATATTTAACAAGGATTAAAAATTTCTATCTATTAAAATACAAAGAGAAAAATGGTTATGAAAATTTTTAACAATTCTTTTTATTTAAATTTTCATAATTTATATATAAATTTTCTTTATCTTATGTATCTGAAAAAAGTTTATAAGCATTAACCACAAATATACCTATAAAAAATAAATTGACAGCAAATTTGCTGATCTTTCAAATTCAAAACTTTGCATCAATTTGTATAATTTTTTTTATGAAAGACAAAAATATTTTATGATAACATTCAAAATTGAAATATTCGTCTGAGTTCAATTTTGAATAAATTATCAGGAAAATTTTCCTATAAATTCTTTTTTATTCTGGAATTAGTGAAATATCTGTAATATTTATCAAGAATAGCCAATGATAATAAAATATTAAAGAATTAAATTTAGTAAAAATAAAATAAAAGACAATCGACTTTTCTTCTATTTTAAATTTATAAAATACTTTCTTTACATCTAAAAATCGATCCGAGGCCTGAGGTATCAGCATGGGAAAATTCTTTTTGGTGAGTCAATAAATAATTTAAAAATTAAAATTTAAGCAAAATGGAAAATCCGTTTGTAAGGTACGAACAAAGTAAATAATTTAAAAAGCATGACCAATTTTACTGAGAAATAATTTTAAAATCTGACTTTTTTATCTTTGTCTTTTTAATTTGGAATTCTTTTAAAATACAAAAATTACAAATGTGCAAAATATTGCATAAGAATTGGTTTAAGTGTTAGATAATATCGTAAAAGTTGATAGCAATAAATATGTAGGTTCATAATAACAAAAATTTGTTCAGTCTTTTTTAAAGTTTTTTTCTCAGTACTTGCAAATTTAACATTTCTTTGAATTTAAAATTTATTACCATGTTTTCGTTTTTTAATACATATTCACTTATTGTACTAATTTTGGTACAATATACTGTCGAAACAAATTTATATAATTCAATTATAAATTAATACGCAGAGATAAATTCCCATTAAAATAAATTATTAATTTTTGTTTTCTATTTTGCCCAAAGAATTGGTCGTAAAAAATCCTTTTTTAAAAGCCAGATATTTTCCTTATACAGGGTGTCTAACCAGAATTGAGAAAATAATTCCCTGACTTCTTACTAATTTTATTTCTTCCTTCTTGGGACAAAAATATGGTAACTGACATATCTAACAATAAATTAATATCTAATGATAGAAACCAACGATAATAAAAATCTTATAAGTTTTCTTAGATTAAAAAAATCTTTTAGCCACAAAAATTTTAATTTTTGTATTAATTTTTAGAAATTTCCCTGGAGTTTCAATGAAATTCTTTAACATTCCCTGACTTCCCTGACCGTTAGACACCCTGTTAATAGTCTCCACCCTTTAGTAAAAAATTTAAAATTATTAAAAATTATAAAAAATTGGAAAATACCATACTTACTTAAAAGTCTCGACTCTTTGGTAAAAAATCTAAAATTATCAAAATTTATCAAAAATTCGAAAAACCGAATTTCTTAAAATTCAACATTTTTTTTTCTTTTTTATGGCATTTAGCTTCATTATTTTTGTGCTTTTAAAAAATACTTTACATATTTAATAGTCTCGACTCTTTGGTAAAAAATCTAAAATTATCGAAATTTATCAAAAATTCGAAAAACCGAATTTCTTAAAATTCAACATTTTTTTTTCTTTTTTATGGCATTTAGCTTCATTATTTTTGTGCTCTTGGAAAATACCTTACTTACTTAAAAGTCTCGACTCTTTGGTAAAAAATCTGAAATTATCGAAAATTTTATCAAAATTTCGAAAAACCGAATTTCTTAAAATTCAACATTTTTTTTTCTTTTTTATGGCATTTAGCTTCATTATTTTTGTGCTCTTGGAAAATACTTTACTTATTTAATTGTCTTCACCCTTAGGTAAAAAATTTAAAATTATTAAAAATTATCAAAATTTCGAAAAACCGAATTTCTTAAAATTCAACATTTTTTTTTCTTTTTTATGGCATTTAGCTTCATTATTTTTGTGCTCTTGGAAAATACCTTACTTACTTAAAAGTCTCGACTCTTTGGTAAAAAATCTGAAATTATCGAAAATTATCAAAATTTCGAAAAACCGAATTTCTTAAAATTCAACATTTTTTTTTCTTTTTTATGGCATTTAGCTTCATTATTTTTGTGCTCTTGGAAAATACCTTACTTACTTAAAAGTCTCGACTCTTTGGTAAAAAATCTGAAATTATCGAAAATTATCAAAATTTCGAAAAACCGAATTTCTTAAAATTCAACATTTTTCCTTCTTTTTTATGGCATTTAGCTTTATTATTTTTGGACTCTTCAAAAACACTTTACTTATTTAATTGTCTTCACCCTTAGGTAAAAAATTTAAAATTATTAAAAATTATCAAAATTTCGAAAAACCGAATTTCTTAAAATTCAACATTTTTTTTCTTTTTTATGGCATTTAGCTTCATTACTTTTGTGCTCTTCAAAAACACTTTACTTATTTAATAGTCTTCACCCTTAGGTAAAAAATTTTAAATTATTAAAAATTATTCGAAAAACCGAATTTTTTAAAATTTAACATACATAAAAACAAATGATAATAAAAATCTTCTAAGTTTTGTTTCATTAAAAAAATTTTTCATTCACAAAAATTTTAATTTTTGTATAAATTTTTAGAAGTTTCCCTGGCTTTCAATGAAATTCTTTGGCATTCCCTGACTTTTCCCTGACCAAAAAAATTCCCTGACTTTCCTAACTTCCCTGATCGTTAGACACCGTGTTATATTTAAAGTCCCTTTAAATAATAATTAGTTGAAATAATTAGTTATTTCCCCAAACTTGTTTCAACTAAAAATAATAATTTAAAGAAAGCATATTGTTAAGATTTTATAGAAAAAAAAGAGGCACTTTGCAACCGTTTTACATTTGTTCACAAGAAAAAAAAACTGTCCAAAGAAATGATAAAAAATGCGTAATTAATGCAAGAATTGCGTTTTTCATAATGTAGATGAATCTAGAAATACTCATGAGAACCTTTTTTGCGTTTTGGTTCAGTATTTCTCTTACTAGTTGCACAGCAAAAAATTTTAATAATTCTTTTAAACAAATTTCCCACAAAAAAGTATTTCCTTGAAATGTGTCATCGGCGTTACATGTGATAATCCTTCGGTTATGTTTCAAAATTAAAATGAGATATCCCAGATGCAATTTTAATGAATTGTATTTGTCATTCGTCAAATTTAATTGCAAAAGACAGTTGCAATAAACATTTACCACATTGCTGAACTCAATTATCCTGGCAATATTGCTATATGTTTAACTATAACCAGAAAAGACAGAATATAATTTTTTATATGAAATTTGCGACAAGTTTATTTAAAAACTCACTATTTTTATAAAAAAAAGAATAAAATTGATGTATTTTTCGAAAAGTTAAAAGCATTGAAAAAGAATTATTAGATACAAAAATTTAACAGTTTAATTAATGAATAATTCTTGATTTTTAAGTTTTAATTTAATTTCTTAATTACGAAAATTTTTTAAAAATATTTTTCTAATCATAATACAGTCATGCATAATTTTTCGGGGGTACTTTTTTTGTTGTTGAGAAAAAGATTTTTTTTTTTTTTGAAGTTTTCGATATTTACGCTCGACTTCCCCACTGATGATCGGAACTTTGTAGGAGGCTTTATTATATTCTCTTTGTCAATACGATCAAAGTAAACTGTCTAGAAAATGAAGGTATTGCAGTGACAAAAAAATCGAATAAAAAAAATTCTTTCTCATCGCTTTGTGATAAAAGAAAATAGTGTAAAATTATTTCTCAACTTTATAAAACTGAAGGTTCTCTATATAGATAGATTTTTTCTCACCCTTAATAAATTATTGAATAAAAGACATCTTAAATTAAACAATTCAACTTAACGATTTTACTCACATATTTACTGACAGTGCAAAAAAACAATTGACATTAAGTTTTTGCTTCAAAGGGATAGGAATTTTATATCATTTTGATAACTTTTTCGAATTAGTTTTCAATCACTATCTGACAATTTAGAAATTTAGGATTATCTCGTAAAGGAAGATCGACTATATAAATTGTGATTCCCTAATTTAAAAAATTAAAATTAGCCAAATTATCTTGGAGAATACAATTTTTTTGGTCTAAAAGTTTGCTTTTAAATTCAATATTATTATTGTTTCATTATTGTGAATAAGTCATTGTGCATTAAGTATGTGTATGTTGAAAAAAATTGGACTCTCCTTGATCCGTTTGGTTAAAGAAAAGAAAAAAAAAATGGTTGAACCTTGGAAATAAGTTAAAGGATGTATTTTCGTGTTTTGTGGCTTGGGGATATTTTTCACCAAGGGACTCAGGAGTGATGTATGTGCCTAACTAGAGGCTCACACATAGAGATGTATGCAGGTACAGGAGGTACTTACATAGTACCCAT